TCAGGAATGATTTTAAGGCTCTTGATTAGATTACTGAAATGTAATCACATCCCCGGTATCCATTTTGTGCTTAAATAATAATTAGACCTACCAACTGTGCAGGCAAAATACCAAGGTAGATGTTTACCCAGTCAGCATTTAAGAGTGTCACCCATTAAAACCACCTAATTTGGACATTCAGTTCTAATTCCTGCAAATGTGGATTTAACTTCCTCATTTTTTGGACGCCATAATTCACCATTCATACTTGGTTGATGACCAATATGTTTATGGACCAGTAAGTTTGACATTAAGGAGTGAATATTAAATAAATGCACAGAGTACTGATTTTATGTCACATAACAGTACCAGCTTGCTTTATTTATTGGTACAGAGTATGCTAGGGATACCTAGTATCAGCAAAGGGTATTACATAATTTATGCCTTATCAGAATACAATGTATAATGCCCCCAAATTTGGTATTATGTTCGAAGAATTTAGTGGGAAAGATTAAACCTGAAGAGAAAATAACTATAACTTACATTTATTTAGCCTTTCATGTAAAAAAAATCTCCTGCAGTGCTTAACAAAATGTATTTGATGGACAATTAGGTGAATGTTGTTATATTGGTGAACATGGCAGTTTATCTGTGCCACCAATCTATAAACAACGAGATGAGCAGCAATTTAATTTGAATTTGGGGTAAATTTTTATTGTAAAAGGAATGAAACTCAGAACAATCAGGAGAGAGGAAGACTGCATTTTTTCATCATAAGTACCTCAACATCAGATGCTCTTTAATCTGTGCAGTGATTACCTTCAAATACATTCCCTTGCAAAATTCACCAGTGAATACAGTACTATTTTATGTATGTTGCAAATTGTCTGACATGGTAAACACTGGGACCTTTTTATATGGTCTAAATGCAAGTACTTGAATTGGATATAGGTACTTGAAAGAAATCTAGTTTTGTAAGGATAAATATTAACAAATAAAGATGTCAGAAAAATGCTAGTAAGCAAATTCTAAATAATAATAATCTAAACAAGTGGCACAGTACGGTGGTGGGCGAGCACTTCAGTAAAGAAAACTATATTTCTGGGTACCTAAAACAACCAAGCCACAGGAATTAACAATAAACAAACAAAGTACAATGGATTTGACATCGTGGCATGTTCACAGCACAGGAGTACATCATTTGGCTCATCGTGTCTACAATCAAGATATTCACAGGATCACCCTTGAGCACTTTGGGAGAATAGGGAGCCATAAGTGGTAGAACAACAGGTGGAGGCTGCAGGGCAGAAGAATAAGGTCTTGAAAATTAGATTCCTTTCATAACAGAAAAGGAGAAATAGCCCCAATCAGTAAAAAAAGAAAGTTACTTTTTTTTTAGTCAAACCTTCATCCACACAAATCATTTCTCACCTCCAAAATAAAATCTTGAACCAAGTAGCATGGAATATGGCTTAACTACATTGCTGAAAGATGTATATATTTTCCAAAGCATAGATATTAATCAAACTGATGAAACTATGTGAAATTAATTGGGCAGTAGAATGGTTTAACTTCACAGTAATTGTTTTTTTAATCAGTTCAGATGGACTAGGAACGAATATGTTTTTGACAAACAGTAATTTATTGTAAAATGCTTCAGTGCATTTGTAGACATTTTTGCGTGGTTCTGAAGTGATTTTTTTCCTGTACAATTTCTGTTATCAGATGTTTGTGAACCTCAGGAGCAGGTCATTGACCGATGAGAAAATGGGTCTTGTTCTTATCAGATTCACCAGCAAGACATCCTTGCTTAAGAGTAGGGTGGAAATCACAGATATTCCACTGAAATAAGCATGTCAATCTACTTACATAATAATGTACTGAAAAAGAAAGCAAGGCAGAATTATATCAAGGCAACAAATGTTCTTTGAACTGGCTGATAAAAATCACAATTTACAGTAGTATTGTTTCTACATTTTTAGGT